CTTCCATTTTCCACTAGGAATTAACAAGATTTGATTAAATTTGACAAATTCACTCGAAAATGGCATTAGGAAAACAGCTTTTCTGCACGTTTCAGGTTGAGGTGTGACAATCAGTTGGCCATTCCATAAATAGTACTATTTTGAAAGAAAATTGTTAAAAGATTTAATTTCATTACAATAAATCAAAATAAATGTATTTAATTATGAAATAATGATTTGACCACATTTGGAAAAACCATAAACAAAATAATAGAAATGAGGATGTTTTAAAACCATGGTGCTGCTTACATTTTTGTCACGTCTGTTTCAATCCGCCATATTTGCCAATCACTGATTGACTTTTTATTGTAACTCTGCGACTTAGAGGCGCCAGTGCATCGTGCACTGAGTGAGTGTAGGCCTTGTGTGGTTATAAAACATTGCTATGCCTTATTTTTTAATTTGAATGTTAGGATGCAAGAAAAAGATGAAGTTTTCTGATTGTGACCGTATATCAGTTGGTGACATACCAGGGAAATAAGCTAAAATTAGAGCACTCTATTTATTGCTCCTGCCCCATGTTGAAGAGATACCCCTAAAAGCGTGATCTTTTATCGGCCCTTACGCAGCAAGGCAGTAATTCTCAGACCGGTGGATGGTATCAATAGTAAGAGAATGCGTCAAGGATTAACATGAATTAATTAAAATAACATTAAAATGTTAATTAAGCGTGGAAATTAGTCCCAAACATAAGCTAATTATTGCTCCTACCTCGGCGACGGCGCTCCCCGCAGTCGGCGGAGAAGCTAAAATAAAAGCCACCATCCTCCTCTGTAAGTCAATTTTAGAGCGGCCGAGTGGGACGATGCGGGGCCACCAAACTGAGGTGAGACGTGGCTAGTAATTGCAAACCGCCATAGAAATCAATATCTTAAGACGTACAATATGGGATGATTACTCTGAAGCTGGAGTGAAAGCATGAGTAGATTGCAAGAAACGAAATGCATAGATTGGTTGAATTATGTACAATAGGCACAGCTCAGATGAAGCCATTTCTATGATGTTGACATATGACATAACCCTTCCTCTCCTCACCTATGACCTAAGTGCATTGGCAGTTACCGGCATAGTTTTTGAGCACGAGTGCAATTCGCCATCGGACCGCAATACATGTTGCTAGGCTGCTGCAATTACAACGAACATACGAATACTGCCTTCATTTGTAGACGTTTGTTTTTTAGGCGGTCTTTGACGTGCAAGGGGGCATACCTGTCGACAACTTGAGTTTCTCCGAATTTCAAAAACTCCCAGAATTTCAATTCCTTATGCACTGTTGTAGGTACAGCTATGTTCACAAGTTTTCGTTTCCTCCTGTTCTAAAAAGGATGATATTTGTCGATTTCGTGCGTCGCTGATAGGAGGGTGCGTTTAATGATTAGGCCCAACGCTTTCTGCATCCGCGAGTACCTTCAAAAGGGAACAACAGTTTCCATTTATTACACTATGGGACATGTGACAAAATGACCACTGGAACACGCATGAAACGGAGCTCATATTCCTAAAAATGTCTACAATCACTTCTTTTCTGACACTATTAGCAAATACCATCTCAAGTTAGGTGGTTGACAGACAGTCAATGGAGATCTGGGGAGACTGAGTGATGCCAATTCACCACTTAACTGATAATGAGGGCCGAGGGAAGAGAAACATGCAACATGCACAACTGACAACTTGACAAGTGACAAAACACTACCACTATTGCGCAGTGCACAACCAAATTACAGCAGCCAGCCCAAAAATGCTTTTGGTGGCTAATTGCAAAACAAGTCACTAATAAATGTCTTAGTTGCAGCTGAACACTGCACAATAATCACACTGTTCACACATTGAGTGAGATGCCACAGGTGGTTTGAATCACACTTTGGTTCAACTGCAAATCTGAAGTGTTGTCATGAGGTTCATGCCTCCATGATCACAGCACTTTGGTTGTGGTTGACATAACACTTGTAGTCTGCAGAGTTCCACATAAACTGCAGACACCTCATCTGGTGGTCTTCATGTTGCTCAACTTCTTCAGGAGGCAAATGTCGACCACCCAGCGGAAGCATGGTCCTGCAGAAAAGAAAGGTAATGCATAAGGTACAAACATTATCTGCTGAAACAGCTCCTTCTGTTGGCTGTTATTAAACTTTTAACATAGGTAACATAACAACATGTATTCTATGTATATTACATTTGTTGAAGTAAAATACTGCCGGCTATTTCAAAACCAGAAAATGAAATTATATTGTGGCATAATTCACCTGCTCAGCTATCAGTATCAAATAATAATTAATTTAATATTTGGCATATTCTATATAACACATTCATAGAATATTCTACTTCACGTCACAAGGACTCACAGTCTTTCTGTTGGGTGTTTGATTGACGCATTAACTAAGTTTGTCTTAGGTTTTATTATTGCAAAAAATTCATATTGCATTATTGTATCAAAATACTGCCAGCAATAACAAAACAAGAACATGAAATGCCAATGAGCAAGCCGCCTTTCCTTAAAATGGATTACTTTGAAAGGAATTTTAGTTTCTTTTAAGGAAAAGGAGAAATGATTATCAGGTAATTATCAGAAAACCACTCAACCAGCAAGTGGCTGGGTGGTTTCACAGCAAACATCAAGCCAAAACATATGCTTACATCTATCTAACAATTGAGCCATTTGACTACTACAAGGATATGTGAGCAAAATAAGAATCCAATTATCCAATGTTGACTTCCTTGCAAAGTTTATGCCTTATTTTATGAAAATGTGTCACTAGAATATGATACTTATCATCGAATATTATTTAATTTACGATTTATTTCGATCGGAATGCACATGGAGTCCCGCGCCATTTTCGTCGACGATGAATATGATCGTGTTTCATGAAGAGATAAGGGGTTTCAATGGTCTTTCAAAGCAATAATTTGATGCAAAAATTTGTAGGAAATAATATGAAGCTGGTTCAAATGGCCATCAACCATTTAAAACACCAAAAATACTCACAACTCCGTCCCGACGACCACGCAGCACCCCGCACGCCACACTACTGGCACAATGCCAAAACTGTTGTCACAGCGGAAATGTTTTTTTTCTCGATTGCAATTGTGGAATTATTTATTAAACAGAAGATGATCTTTCCGAAAAACCGACTGATTTCATACACAGATGCATGGAAAATAAAAAAATCCCGGTAAGTTTATTTGTATTGTTTTGTCGATTTTGACATGCTCCTAGTTTGCAGCCATATTTCGATATGTTCTACAGGGAGTTCAGAATTATTTCAGGACCAACCTTTTCCTCATTCATTTTCCCGTCGATCATGAAATTTTTAGAGCGGAACAATTGGTTTCCAGGCGGTCCGAGCGGTTTTCGTGAGAAGGGTGCAAAAATCGGCGTCATTTTTAGAGCCTCGACACCAGCTCAACACAGGACCCTATGGGAGACGGTGAAGTAGCGGGAGCAATAAATAGAGTGCTCTAATTTTAGCTTATTTCCCTGGTGTGTCACCGACTGATATGGTCATCGCCTCGCCCACTCTAGCTGTTGATTGGTCAATCAAATTTTAGTTTGGCACCTTTTAGTTTCCCCAACTGACCTATTTATCGGGGTTACATGAGCACAGTAAATACGTATTTAGCCGCTAATTCGAATTAGGAACGCATTACCGACTCATGTAGCCACCTGCTAGTACGAATCGGCGATCCGATCCGCGGTTACATGAGCAAAGCAAATACGTATCACGATCGGATTCACCGCTAATGCGAATCAGGAGCGTACTACCGACTCATGTATCCACCTGCTAATACGAATCGGCGGTCCGAACAAAATCCGCTGAGAAAGAGGCTTAGAAGCGAATAGGACCAAGATACGTATTACAGGAACTATTTCTTCGCAAAAAGAAACATTAAAATGCAAAATAATAGGTATTTTTTTCATTTTCTTCTTTTGAAATAATATTTTGAAAAATATGTCGGTATTTTGCCAAGTTTTCAACAATAAATATAGTGAAAACCAAATAGTAAATATCCACATAATTTCAGTTGAAACATTTTTCTGACAGCACTACAGACGAATCAAGAGAGGCAATTGCCCAATGAGTCAAAGCAAGACAACTTTATGTTCAACTTTTTTTTGTTAAGTTAATTGAGAATGTTTTGAGCAGATTAAATGCAAAAAAGACATAAGATAATGAATTTTTAATTTAGTCACCTCTATTGCTACGGAAGTGCGCCACATTTGTATGCTATTCCGTTTGTAATGCGCATCGGGCCGAGAGCCAAACTAGATCCGTTTGACGTCACTGATACGAATTTGCTCATGTAGTCGGTGCACTGAATGCGTTCTTGGGGAGCTGATGCGAATTAGCGTGGTGCGTATTTGGAACGGATCGCTCATGTAACCGAAACGTCCGAGGCACACGATTCGGGCCGTATTTCACAAGAACTATTCTTTGCTGACTGGAAGCTTGACTGGAAGCGTCAAAATGCAAAATACTTAACAACTTTTTTATTGGCTGCTTCGTAGAAAATAGCAAAAAAATGTTGGTATTTTGGTTTAGTCTTTGCATGTGAAATAAAATGAATGAAATATGTTGAAAGATAATTTTTTCTGACCACCCTGCTGTCGCTGCATGGCGAATCAGTGCCCACTGACTTAAAACAAGAGAACTTTGTTTTCATTTTTTGATTTCATGTTAATTTTAAATGTTTTTGAGCCTATCAAATGATATAAGTATTTAAAATTTAGCTCAGTCGTCCCGGTAAATGCCGCAACTGCGCCATGACTGTACGCTAATCCTATTCCGTTTGTGATGCGAATTACCGGCCGTCGAGGAGTCAGCCCGGGTGAGCCAAACAAGATCCGTTTGACGTAGATAAAACGAATTAGTCTCATGTAACCGGTGCCGTAGATCCGTTTGTGGGGAGCTGATGCGCATTAGCGTAGTGCGTATTTGGAACGGATCGCTCATGTAACCCCGGTAATTGTCTTGATATGAGAAGCTTGCTCAAATAGCAGGCTTGGCTTGCTCAAACAAGCCTGCTGTGCTTGTTTGGAAGAACTAACCCATCAACCAGGTGAAAGTTGTGTTTCATGGCCAGTGTTTTATTGGGTGGAATCTAAAAACAGGGTGCCTAGCGCTGTTCGGCAGCCGGCTATTTTGTGTGCAGGGTATGACGTATTTCGCGAGCCGACGTCACAGGCGGTGACGTCGGCTCGCGCGCAAGCCGAGCGCCAACGACAAACTAACGGGAACCCTCGGACACCCTCGGGGCATAAACCGCGGAGTAGCATATTGAGCGAGTCTTATAAGGAAAATTCATATATTTTCGTTTCTCAAATGATAATCAGGGTGTCTCTTACCTTTTTACACATCATTTAGGCTTACCTAACACTTCAGTTGCCAAATATCTGCAATTTATCCAAATGAAGGCATTTTCAGCAAATATCAATACTATAGACCGAAATCTTTTGAATAAAAACTCCAACCAATAGAAATAAAAATAACTTATTTATTCCAACCATTTCCTCCACATTAACAACATAAAAACTCACTTTTACACACATCATTCATAATAAAGCATACTAACACGCCGCTTTAGACAATTGCGGCGTCGAGTGGCGCGCTGCTAGCGCTCTTTTTCGATCGCAGAGACCCTGCACGCGCGCGAGCACACTACGTCACGTCCGGGGGGCACAGGTATATGAAAAATCGCAGTGACGTAACACTTTTCTCGCTTCTCATTGGTCAATAGCCCGTTGCCGGGGTAACGTGCACGTATGTGAGCGCCGGCAAGAGTACTAGCCGGCCGCCGATCAGGGCTCCTAATTTGTGTAAAATTTGCTGCTGTTAGACTTTCAGACATTAACCCATTAACGCCCGTAATTCCCCAGCGAATGCACACGAATGCCCATTTGCTGATTTAGAGGTAATGGTCCCCTAAGGGTACCATGTGAGTTTGGTAAATGTGCGAAATCTAGAAATATCCTTTTTTGAAGTGGTACCTTTTGGTACCACTGGGCGTTAATGACATCATTTTTTCGCAAAAACATGCATTTTAGCAGCATACAAGATATGTTTGCCAAGAAGACTTTGCAGCTCATTCGAGAAAATCAGAATATAAGACGACATACTGATCGGCAGTATTATGGCAAACGCTCGCCGCTTATGTTTTTCAAGTTGTCTGGTTATGACGTCATTACTGCATGTTTTGCCTAACTGCCATAAACGTCAATGCTATTATTCACCTGGTGGTGGGTAGGTCTAGTGTAGAACTTTACTGTTTCAAGCAAGGTTGTGGAGTCGATGGATTTTCAGTGACTGACTCTGACTCCAATTCAGACTTTTACATTTCAACTCCGACTCCGACTCAGACTCCAGGCATGATTGTCGACTCCGACCGACTCTAATTCATACTCAATCTCCGCAGTCCTGGCATGTCTGCGGAGTCGCTGGATTTTTGGCGACTCGAACTCCAGCTCCGGCTTCCACAATCGACTCCGACTCTGACTCCGACTTCAGTTAGAGATATCGACTCCGACCGACTCCCGACTCAGATTCTGCAGCCCAAGTTTCAAGGCTTGTAGGGTTATTTATTTTCCTAAGATGCACAAATATCTTTATACAAATGACAAAACTAGCGGTTTTCTTAAAGCCATTACCAGCAACCACCCTACATTCTGTGTTAAATTTCCTTTCAAAATTACGAAAATAAACATGAAGCCCATTGTTCAAGATCCAGCACAGTCTGTAGTTACAGTTCGTGCACTGCAAGACACGCGCTATACCTACCAAATCTAATCCAGCAACCAACGAGACAGATCTCCAAAATGGACTTCAGCCGGATAGTAGTTGATTCGGTGTCGGGATTCCATACGGATAGGACGTGCCTCATCGAGCTCCACACTCCACACTCAGTTTTGAATACGGAGCTCGCGGGGGCTCCGATCGTTCGTTTTTGCACGTTTTCCCCTCGCTGTTGCAGCTTTGAAAATCTTCTGGTGAGATTGAAGACAGGTGGAAATGATTCGTTCTCCAATAGCTACAAGAAAATCTTCACAGAAAGCGTCGAGGGATGGCTCCCACGATGGTGCTGTTCGTGAATCTGATTCGCCTGCTGGGTCCAAGCAGAGCAGTGGCAGAAAACAGGATAATCATATCGTTCCACAAGATGGGGTGTTTGGTGATCCGGATATCGCTGTCACTGTGCATGATGTTGGGATTCCCCCAACAAGCAAGAACAGAATCCAGAAACTGGATGAGGAAGCCTATAAGCCATGGGGCTCACGCTCTCGGGCTTCTAGCGTGGGTAGTGATGCCTCCTTCTGCAAAGGTGGACCTGGCAAGGTATGTGGAGAACCTGTGCGGAACACAGACTGTGGTGTGGCTTGCGATAGGTGCGAAAAGTGGTTCCATGCTAGCTGTCAGGGCATACCAAAGCCGGCTTATGATGCTCTTATTGAGTACCAAGTCCTCGCATGGCTTTGCCCCACCTGCAAGAAATCCTTAAAAAGCGAGGCTAAGGCTGATAATAAACACTTTGCCACTCTTGAAGAAAAAGTAGACCAACTCACTCATGCCGTCGACACTCGTATGAAGCGCTTGGAGCGCTCCGTCAAGGAACAGGAACAGGCAGTGATAGGTCAAACACAACTGATAGAGAGGTCTATTAGAGACAACCACTCACAGAAAGCAACATATGCAGACATGGTAAGGGGCACATGTTCAGACATGGTGGAAAAGGTAACTGCCAAAGTGTCGGCCATACCCCAGGTACTTGCAAATCAAAACACTTCAAAGGATGCGCAAAGTTTATCTAAGGCCTTTGACGAGTTCATCGAGAAGGACCGAAGGAAGCTTAAAGGAAATAGTTCACTTTTTAACATGGGTTTTGAACTGGAATAGCAGTTCCGTAGCTTGGGCTGAGACGAGCATAAATCAGGAGCTTTTACAGCCCAACGATCAGCCTAGGCAAAGATATTCTATTTCTCGTCCCGAAAAAGGTGTCTTGCGTTGAGGATGTGTGCCTTGCATATATTTCCATCCAGTATGAAAAGAGCATGGGTCCCGAAAATTCTTCAGAAAGTAGAGAAATTATCTACGAGAACTCTAGAGAAATTCTCGTACTGATCAATTAGGACATTCAGGGGAACATTATCAGATCGAGCAGATCGCCCAAATGCCGGTGGCTGCGATAATTTCTCTGTTTCTGAAGAATTTTCGGGACCCATGCTCTTTTCATACTGGATCGCGTGTGCCTTACAGAAACTGAAAAGTTCTTCCTATATCAAAATATAGAAAATAATCTTTTGTTATAAAAAGGTTTTATTTTCTTTGCTGATTATTTTGAACATAAAAAATCATAAATCCGTTGCAAAAAAAATAATTTCGTGAAAGTGAACTATTTCCTTTAACCTTGTGATTCACAACTTGCCTGAATCTGAAGGTAGCACATTCAGTGACAGGATGGAGAAGGATGGTCGCCTTTTTCAGGAAGTAGTCAGAGATGCTTTCAGGTTGAACGTGTCCATTTCCAAAGCATTCAGAGTGGGGAAGGTGATGCATGGTAGGCCCAGACTGCTTATTGTCACACTTCAGTCTCCTGGGTCAAAGGGTGACATTCTGCGGCTTGCACCACAGCTGAGGGGCTCTGACAAATGGGACAACATCTACATCACCCCCGACCTCACAAAAACAGAGCGCGAGGCTGCAAGGAAAGTGAGAGAGGAACTGGCCACCCGCAGGGCAGCAGGTGAACAGAACCTAACTATCCGCAAGGGTAGGATTGTGCAGGCTACAGGGGAGGCTATGCAAAACAGACCAGCTACAGCCAGTGACACTCGGCCTACTGATCAGGATAGCACTAGACCTGTGAACCAGCTGGCCCAGTCAAGCCTGGCAGCCACGGACAGGGCTGGGGAACATATCACATCAAGTGCAGGCCCATGTCACTCCACTTTTGATGACATCATAAGGGGGCCTCAGGACAATTAATGGCGCGGTGCGCCACAATCGCTCCCAAGCTACTGGCCAACAGCTGCCATTTTTGAAAATATTATTTTGAAATAAAGTTTCAAGTAATGAAAATATTGCAATAAAGTTGTAATTCAAATCTATACCATATCTAAAAACTTACTGAAAAATGAATTATCCATAGTAAAAATATAAGCTCGATGCGTTTTTACGTTGCTTCCCTGCTGCTGCAGAGGGTTTTTAAATCGTCTATATCTTCAAAACCGGCCATTTCTTAGCATATTGCTGCCTTTTTTTGTCGCTGGAAAATTAGTTGGGCTTTCCATTGACATCAACGGCTGAGCGGTATGTGTAGAGTGCCATCAATAATCTTCAAATGAAATTAGTCATTTTTACGTTGAAAGGAATGGAGTACCCCTTGCGAGCATCAGGGGTGACGTCACTCAGGATCTGTCTCTGATTGGTCGGCGGGGGAGTGACTGTACCTTCTATAGATGGCCTTGATCAAGTGACACTGTGCACAGTGCCCCTGCCTCAGCTAGACCCTCCACCTGACTACCTGATAGCGTGTCAGCCAGTTCACAATCTCATGTGTATAATAGTGTAAGGTGTATTTATACCAATGCTGACCAACTAACCAACAAGAGGGATGATCTGCTAATGTCCATTGCTCACGACAGACCAGACATAATTTTCATTTCAGAATGTTTACCCAAAGTTCAATCCAACCTCCCTGTTGCATCACTTATTTCAATTCCTGGTTACACATTGTTTACCAGTTTTGACTCTTGCACTAGTGATGTGTTTGGTAGAACTTTAAGAGGCATATGCATATTTGTGGATGACAACATCCAAGCATCAGAGGTAAACTTTCTTCCATTGCAGAGCATCGAACAGCTTTGGATAAGGATAAAGTTGAGGGGATCTGATCTTCTATTGGCTGGAAGCCTATATCGCAGTCCATCTGGAAACGCACATCAGAGTATGGATGAGTTGGGTCAGCTTTTCCGGTCTGTGCTGGAGACCTGTCCGTCTCACTTGCTGATATGTGGCGATTTCAATATTCCACAGATAGATTGGTCATCCTCCTTTTGTGGAGCCTCT